GCGGCTTTGCCTTTGTCTACTTTTTGACCTGGGGCCAGCGCGAGGTGGCGGCCGCCCACCCGCCCCTCCTCTACGCCGCCCTCCTCCTCCTGCTGCTCTTCCCCGGCGGCCTGCTCTTCCGCGACGCCCGCCTCTTCTTCGGCGGCACGCTGTGGAAGGTGCTGACCCCTGGGCTGCGCCCAGTCTCCTGGGCCGACTTCCTGCTGGCCGATATCCTCACCAGCCTGGCCAAGGCGCTCAGCGACACAGAACGGGCCGTGTGCAACATGATGACGGGAGAGGTGCTGGAGCCGAGCCTGCAGGTAAGGGGTCGGTCTGCCGAGGGGGTGCTGGCAGGGGCAGGGCAGGCGGGGAGGGCGGGGTGGGCTTGGGGTGGGTCCGTCACATGCCGGTGGCACCTGCCGCCTGCCTGCCTGCCTGCCTGCCTCTGAATCATCTCTCCCAATCACCCCCGGCACCCTCCTGACCGTCCCCCTGCCCCCAGCTCACCGCCACCTCCTTGACCCGCCGCCCCGCCCTCGCCCCTCGCCCCGCCCGCCGCCTCCCCGCCCGCAGGCCTGCAGCGACGCCTCCTTCATCATCCCGCTCGGCCTGGCGGCGCCCTACGCCTGGCGCCTGGTGCAGTGCATACGCGTGTACCTGGACACAGGCGCCCGCCCGCAGCTCTTCAACGCGCTCAAATACTCAACAGCCTTTCCGGTGAGGCTGGGGAGGGGGGTGGTGATGCCTGTGTGGTTGTGGTGCATGTGCGGTGTCTGTATGTGTGTGTCTGTGTGTGGCAGGGTGTGATTCCTGATGGGGGCACGAGTCCCGAGGCGCTCACCGCCTGGCAGGCGCACGCGGCATGCCCCCGATGGCCCAGCTCCACCCTACGGTGCACCTTACCCACTCCTGGCTCGCCCTGCCGCCGGCCCGCCCCGTCCAGGTCATCCTGCTGTCTGCGGTGAAGTACCATGTCGCTCACGAGGTGTGGCGCCACACGCTCAAGCCGCTGTGGCTGGGTGCCGCCTTCCTCAACTCCGCCTACTCCTTCTACTGGGATGTGGAGCGGGACTGGGAGATCTCCTGGTTTGGCCAGATGGGTGAGCCGGGGGGGTGTCGCATGGGGGCGCCGCATGGGGGCGTTGGTGTGCGGGTTTGATGAGAGGGTTGGAGCCATGGGATGGGAGGAGGCCTCTTGGCTGGTACGCTCACCAGCGCGCGCCACCAGAGCGCTGCAACCGGCGTTCCCTCCCTCCCCTGCCCCCTCCCCGCCCTCCCCGCCTTGCAGGCGGCGCGCAGCGCGGCGCGGTGGTGCCGTCGCCGGTGCTGCGCGGGCAGCTGCTGTACCGCCGTCCTTTCTACCTCTACCTCATGGCCTCCAACCTCGCCCTGCGCCTGGCCTGGACCTACAAGCTGTCGCCCCACCTGCGCGAGCACCACGTCGTGGTCTTCTTCATCGTGCTGGCAGAGGCCTTTAGGTGCGGGGTCTGTTGCCGCCTTGGGCTGGGGGCTGCCGCGAGGGCTGCCACCGCCTGCCGTGGCCAGCTGCCTGCGCGTGCTGCGTGCATTGGCTACTTGCCCGGCTTCGGCACAGGCTGGCCTGCTGCCCGCCCTCTGACGCCCTGCCCGTCCCTGCCCCGCCTGCCTGCTGCCTGCTGCAGGCGCTTCCAGTGGCTGTTTGTGCGGGTGGAGGTTGAGCTGCGCAAGATCCAGGCCCACCGCCCCGACTTGGGAGTGCTGGTCCCCCAGGCGGGCTACACCACGCACGGCCACAGCAGCGAAGCGGCGGACAGCGGCAGCGAGGAGGAGGGCGGCGAGGTGGCGAGCGGCCTGGGGGCCAAGTCGGCGGCCCGCCTGCTGCCGGTGGTGCCGGGACACGCGGTGGCGGCGCAGCACCGCGCCGCGGGCAAGCTGGGCGGCGGGGCGGCGGAGGTGGAGCTGGGCGCCAGGCTGTGACCCTACTGCAGGCGCCGCCCAGCTTGCGGCATGCAGCAGGACCCCCCCTTGTGAGCCCTTTGGCTCTGTTCTCCCGCTTGCCTGTCGTCATCGCTGTTGTTTCATCTGCTGCGCCGCATGCCAATTGGCTCTTGCATGCCTGGCATGCGGCGCAGCTGCCGTAGGCTGCTTTCGACCCAGCGAGCGCTGTCGGCATGCGGCGCGGCCGCACTGCTGGAACACGGTTCCACTCCAGGCTGGCAGCTGCTTGAGTTTTTTCACGCCTGGCATTTCAAATCATTGACATTGTTGCTGACATCAAGACGATGGGCTGCTCGCCAAGGGATCATTGAACAAGATTGAGGTCATGCCAAAGAGCCTGTTGGCATCCCCAGCCCCCCCCCGCCCCCCCCCGGGCCCCCGCGCCGCTTGCCTTCTGCCGTGGCAACACAGCTGGAGCATACAGGCCGTGACAGGGCCCTCCAGCAGACCTTCTGGGCATGCAGCGCCTTCTGTGCGCTGGCTGGCCGATGGGGCCTCACCCACAGACATCTGCCTACACAGGGGAAGGGGCACTAGGGATGATCACACGCCGCGCGCCAACAGTCACATGCCGCCACCTGGTATCCTCTTGTTGGTCGCTAACAATGCTCTCATTTCTCCGTTCTTGAGCTAGTAAATCCTCCTCCATCTTTCAGAGATACGTTTGGGCTGGGTGGACAGCACACAGCACCAGTTGGAGAGAGACGTCCAAAGCGTCCACTTCAAAAACGGCCCCGCGGAATGCATGTCGGCCTCTCAAGTGCAACGAAAGACACAAAAATGAAACGGGATGGCATGCCCGCGCCCCAGCAGAGCAGAAAGAAGACGAAAGCTGGTGAGTGGCACCGGCGTGCTCCTCAGGGCGCCCCGGCGGTCTGTGGGGCTCCAAAAGGGGCTGAGGTAGCTCCGGCAGGTCATGAAACACAGCTATCGGCCTCCAGGCCCACCCGTCGGGACATGGGGCACATGGTGATGGCCATGTGTAGCCAGGCCATGTTCGGAACTTGCGGTTTCACACGTTGTTGTGCGTGTATCGTCGGGTACCAGGCCCGGATGATGCGGAGAGGCTCTCACCCTGTGGTATAGCCCACGCCGTGCGTTGGGGCGCAGTAATGCGCCGACCCGCTCTTCCGCCGACCCGCCTGGCACCGCGAGACACTCACGGCGCCTCACCCCTGCATGCAGGTGTCTACACATCTGACGTGACATGGGAGGCGCTGGCCTCGGTGTTCCATCTGGTGAGATGGGAAAGGTGCCGCAGGTGGCGCATTCACTGGCTGTAGCGCCGCCACCGCGAACACTGCACCGCCACCCCATCGGTTCCAGCTGCACCCAGCCAGCACTGCCAGTGCGCAGTGTGGGAATGCAGGCTGCCCTGCCTGCCAACCGCGGCGGTGCCGTCGCTGCTGCCGCATGAACATCATCCCCGCCGGTTGGCATCCCCGCCTGCGCTGCAGCCGTGCGCACAGGCGTGCCTGGCGCTCGGGGTCGGTCTGACCATCTTCAAGCGCATCTGCCGCAAGCACGGCCTCCACCAGTGGCCCTACCGCTCCCTCAAGAAGCAGGTGGTCCAGGCAGCTGCCAGAGCCATGCCTGCTGCTTTGTATGCGCTGCGTGCAGCCGTTGTGCAGAGCTGCTCGCCGTGGAGCTGGGGGACGCCACATCAGATAGCTGAATGGGGACACCACGTCAGGTGGCCGAGTCCAGGCAGCCTTGGTATCCCGCTGTTCAAACTTGACTGGCGCCCCCGCCCCGTCATGAATTCAACTCCCGCCTCGCCCATGCCGCGCCTGCAGCGCACCATGTCGCGGGATGGCAAGCTGGAGGGCGCCGATATCCTGCGCATTGTGACAGCCTGCCGGTACCCCAATGTGGGCTCCCAGCAGCAGCAGGCGCGACAGCAGTCATCGCCGCCACTGCCACTGCCAGAGCTCGCCCCACAGCCCCTGCAGCCATCGCCCCTGCAGCGCACAGAGCAGCACCATCACCAGGAGCAGCAGGCTGCCCACGCATCCAATCCAGATGTGGACAGCAGCGGCAGCAGCGGCAGCAAGGTGCATCGGCAGCAGGAAGAGGCGGGAGGCAACCTGGAGGATATCTGCAGCGTTGACAGCCGGCAGCGCAAGCGGCGGGGCTCCCCGCTGCAGCAGCAAGTGCGGCGGCCTCCTTCGCCACCGCAGGCGCAGCAGCCAGACATGCAGGGCACACGGGGTGCTGCCGGGGATAGCAGTCATACCAGACAGCAGGGGCTCGGCGGGGACCGGCCAGCAAGCCGCCTGGATGTCCCGCTGCCTTCTGAGGCAGCGGCTGAGGCAGATGCGGGACCAGAGCAGGACGCCCAGCAGCAGCCGCCGCAGCAGCAGCCAGCAAGCACCCAGACCCTCCCGACAATGCTGCCCGGCCTCTCACTGCTGCTGGGGCCGCAGCTGCCAACACTGCAGGCGGTGACTGCTGCGCTGAGCGGCGCGCAGCATCAGAGTCCAGGCGCAGAACAGGCACCTGCTGCCAGCCAGCTTCAGCAGACAGCAGAGATGCTGAACCAGCTGGCAGACTTCCTGGACGCTCAGGCCAGGGCCGCAGCTGGCGCCGCGCTGGCGGGGCACGTGCAGCGGCAGCAGCAGCAGCCAGCCACGGCGGCCGTGGGAGACGAGCCTTGCACAGCTGCCACTCTGCCAAACATGCGGCAACCTCAACTGCCATCAGCATGGAGTGCCTTCTCGTCTCCCTTCAACCTCCCTGCCGGCCTGCAGCGACAGGGGCAGGCGGCTGCAGCACCGTCGGCAGACCTTCTGATATCCAGCCTCCTCAACAATGCCGGTTGGGCATCAGGCAGCCTGTCACTGCCGCTCTTTGGCACTGGCGGCAGCAGCAGCGGCAGCAGTAATTTATCAGCAGACTCTTCCGTTGCCTCTGCCATGGCTTCACACCTGCAGCTGCATGCCCTGCTGGAAGGGCTGCTGGCTGTCAGTGGCAAGCTGTTCACGCCATCTGACCCCGGCCTGCCGCCACCCATCAGGCGAGAATTGCAGCCAACGGGCGCCAGGCAGCAGAAGTAGGAGGCGGCGGCAACCTTACGGAGCACCATCCAGAATAGAATCAAAGACATCAGCTATTAGACATCCCCACATGGCGCATCTCCTTGCCCTCCTCTGTTTATTTGTACCATGCTGCCTGTTCAAAAAGTAACATGTATGTACATGCATTGAACTCAAGGTCTCTGGCACTTTCCTCTGACCCAATGATGAGAGCAGCATGCCCCCTAGCAGCCCAGCTGCAGCTCGTACACCGCACCAGCCGGCTCCCGGGTCGCCTTGCGCAGCCCCTCGAAGCTGCACCGAGGCCCCAGCAGCGCGCCACGCGCCACTGGTGCCAGCTCCAGGAAGGCAGGGCGCAGCACCGCCGCCGTGCTGCAGGCGGCCGGGAAGCCTTGCAGCAGCTGCAGCTGCTCCTCGCAGCCAATCTGCAGACAAGAAAGCAGGTGCACGAGGGGCGCCATGGGCTAGAGAGGAAGAGGCACTTGAAGAACGACCCGGGAGTGGGTGGGTATAGCTGTGCTAGTACTCACGTCGCATGCAACCATTTGCTTGGCCATACACCCGCCACCCCGGCGCACCTGCTCTTGGTAGTAGCTGTGTACCAGCTCCAACAGCTGCGCAGCGGTGAGCTGCCGCTGCTGGGCGCTGCCCCCACCGGCGGGGCCGCGCCCCACTGCAGCCAGCGGGATGCACCGCGTTTCCAGGCCCAGCTCTCCCCGAGCGTCGCGCGGCAGCAGCAGCGTCAGCTGCCCCACCCCGTGAAGCGCCACAGCCTGCTGCCAGGCGCTGCCGCTCGCCAGGCCCGCCGCGTGCCGCCCCGCTGCGGCGCCGCCGCCTGGTGCAAAGCCGTCGACCGTGGGCCCTGGGGCTGCCTGCTGGACCAAGTCTTGCACCGCCGCCTGGCTGGCGGTGATGCAGCACAGGCTGGCACCCTCCATCTCCTCCTCCTCCTCTTCCGAGTCTGGGATGATGAGCGGATATCTGCAGATGCAAAGAGAGCTAGGGGTGGGTGATGTGGGAAGGGAGCGTCGCTCACACACAGCGAGGGTGCAAGATAGCAAACCACAGCAATGCGCAGCAGAGCAGAGCACAACCGACTCACTCCTCATCTGCAGGCTCCTCGGCAGGCCGCTGCCGCCGCTCCAGCCTGGCAGCTGCGGGCGGGTCCAGAACCGACCACAGCACCCCAGTGAGAAGCTCTGCTGGTGTAGCTGCCAGCTGGTGTGCTGCAGAGGGCACACCATTGGCGGCAGCGCCAGACGGGCCGAACACGGCGCCGCCGCCAGCAGCCTCGCCGCCAGCGCTGCCGCCTGCCAGCTGGCCGAGCATGTGCTGCCGGGCCGCCTTGCTGGAAAGAAGCTCGCTGCTCAGGCCCTGCTGGTGCCGCTGCTGTTGTGCGCCGTCGCTGCCGGCATGGCTGCATGCCTGGCTGCCCGCGTGCCCGCTGTTGCTCGCCAAGATGCTGCCACTGGCGGCTGCCGCCGATGGCAGGTGGCGCGAGGCATCTGCTGACACGGTGAGGCAGCGCTGCTGCTTGCCGCTGCGTAGCGACTGCAGCACCCACCGCGGCGACACAATGCCCACGCCTGCAACGGAGCGGGCAAACGAGGAGCAGAGTTGTAAATCGATACAATTCAGCAGCTCCAAGCAAAATCAGTGGCCGCCACATCACGTAGCGCTCGTGGAAGCCAAGTGCAGGCCAAAGTATGCAGACAAGCAGCACGAATTTTCTGTGAGACCCACCCATGGACAACCACTTCAGAGCTGCCTCTGGCTGGCACACCACGTGCGTCACGCCGCGGCACAGTCCGCCGCCCTCGGCAACTCGCCCGCCTCCCTTCTCTAGCGCAGCACACACGCTGCAGGAGGGTAAGGCACGGGAAGGCGGCAGCGGGGTCAAGCAAGCATAGCTGATCACATGGCTTTATGTTATTTTATTTTATTATGTATTTTTATGTACAGAGATTTGCCAGGAATGCCCCTGCTGCCCCTGCTCACCGCTGTTGTTCCTCTACCGCCAGGCTGGCGTCGCAAACCGCCAGCATCCCAGCAAACACGGCGCCGCCGCCGCCGCTCTCTGCCACCTGCCCAGGCAGCAGCAGGGCATGCGGTAAGGCCTAGGAAGCTGGTGGGACATGGGAAGCGGGAAGGTGGGCGGTGTGTATCACCTGAGAGGATGAGGCCTGGTGCTCGGGAGAGGTCTGAGCACAGCTGCTGCCCACTCGTCCTTCCGGCGCCTCTGCTGTTGCTGCCTGAGCTGGCAGACTGGCGTCTCGTGGCGGCGGCGAGCCTGCAGAGCTGGCAGGTGATGCAGCTGGTGGCACCGTCGAGCCACCGCCAGCCACCACATCAGTGGGAGCCAGTGAGCTGGTGCCTCCAAGAGCCGCCGCTGCTACACCAACAGGAGTGGCGACAGCAGTGGAAGCAGGCTGTTCAAGCCGCTGCCGCTGCTGCTCGGCAGCCGAAGCCTCGGCAGCGCACGCTGCATCCCCATCCTGCCTGCGGTACTTGGCTGGCGGCGCCTCTGCTTCCTCTGAAACTTGAGCCCGCTGCTGCGCAATTGGCTCGTCTTGCTGCGCCACACGCTGCAGGCCCTCGTGCTGCCGTTGCTTCAGAGGCGTGTAGCAGTCCTGCTGTGCCAGCCGGCGCAGGTGCAGCAGCAGCGCATCGCTGCCGCCAGCACTGCCTGGTGCAGCAGGGCTGCCAGCAGGGGCTCCATTGCCCCTCCGGGCAAGATCAGGGCCGCCTTCGGCCGACGGGTCGCCACCTTTCGGCGAGTGCGCAGCAAGAGAGGGCCGTCGGAGCTGCTGGACTTGCTGCTGCTGGCGCAACAGCATCAGCAGCTCGTCTGTACTTCTTGCCTCGGCTGTATGCTCCTGGAATGCGGCATCCGCTGCTTCTTCCGCAATAGCTGATGCCTGCTGTTGCTGCTGCTGCTGCCACTGGCAGGACAGATCCCTCAGCTGCCCTGCAAGCTGGCCTGATGCCAGCGGTTCTGCAGCTGCTGCTGCCGCTGCCGGCGGGCGGGTGGCACTCGCGGCTGGGCCCAGCTGCTGCAGCTGCTGCAGCAGGCCAGTCACATCCCCTTTGCCGTCGGCAGGTGCCACTGCTCCTGCTGCTGCCAGCTGCAAGGTGGCATGCCCTCCCGGTGCCTGGAGGTGCTCTTCTTGCTGCCTGGGGGCTCCTGCCTCCGGCTGCCACGCTGCAGGCGCCGCCCTCAGCCGCTCCAGAAGGTCTGCAGTTGAGACGGCGGCAGCAGCCACCTGCGTCAGTCCATCCTGCTGCCTTCCGCCGCCTGCCCCAGCTGCCTGCTGCAGCGGAGCCAGCAGGTCGGCAGTGGCAGGAGCCTGTTGGCGGTGCTGCTGATGCTGAGGCTCCTGCAGCTGATTCACAGCAGGCGCAGCGCCCGGGGTTGACCCCCGCATCTGCTCCAAGAGCTCTGCTGTGGCCAGAGTCGCTTCCCGCCGGTGCTGCTGCTCGGGCAGGGGTACGGCTGGCGGCACTGCTGCCGCTGCCCTCAGCTGCTGCAAGAGAGCCTGGGTATCGGTTGAGGCAGGCCGCTGCTCCCTGGCTAGTAGCTGGCCTGGCACGAGCAGCGTCCCGCCACCAGTTGCCGACAGGCGCAGCTGCTGCAGCAGCTCTGCGGTGCTTGTGCCCTGCTGCTGCTGCCTTGGCTCCCCTGCTGCTGCCGGTTGCACGATGCTGTTACGGGATGCATCCCCGGCTGCGGCAGCATCCCCAGCTCTGGGTGTGGTGACCGGCTCGCTAAGCTGCTGCTGCTGCTGCTGCTGGGTAGCGGAAGTCTGCAGCATTCGAACTCCAGGCGCTGAAACGCCCTGTAGCTGCACCTCTAGAGCGCCTGGCTGCTCATGCAGCTGCAATCCCGGGCCAGGCTGCGGCTGCGGCTGCGGTCTGGGCTGCCACGGCTGCTGCGCCGGCAGCTGGGCGCTCCGGGGAGGCAGCCCAGCTGTGGAGGCGCGCAGCTGCTGCAGAAGGTCGTCCCCGGGCATGAAGCCTGCCTGGGTCATGGGCAGGCGAGAGTAGTCCGCTTCGGCAGAGCCGCTGTCTGCTGCAGGAGGGTGTTAACCCGACATGGCAGGTCCATCAGCCAGCTCTCTAGTAAAGTGAGGCACCACCGCTCAATGCCAGCTCTCAGAAACCCAAGGGACCACATGCGCTAAGCAGCCCATTCTTCAAACCAGACAAAGCTCAGCAGCAGCTTTGCCACTTGCCTTCCTCCTGGTGCCGCCGCTCCAGCTGAGCGGGCAGCGCGGCCGCCGCGGCCGCCGCCGGACGTGAAATGGCCGCCTGCGACACCCCCGCCCCCGCCTCGGCCGCCTGCCAGCGCACGCTGCCCTGCAGGCTGTGCTTCACGGAAGGGGACTGCGTGTGCAGGGAGGCTGCGGCCTGGGCCTGTCCGAAGCTGGCGAGCGGGCGGGAATTGACTGAGCGCCGCAGCGGGTCAGAGAGCGGGCCCTCCTGGACCTGCTGCTGCTGCCGCCCGCGCTGGTCAGCTGGCGCAGCATATGTGTCGGCCACCAGCATGCTGCCTTTGCTAGCCTCCCAGCTCGCTCGCAGCCCGCCGGCCAAGGCGTTGGGTGCGGCCTGCTCCTGGGCGGCGACAGCCGGCGCCGCCAGAGCGAGCAGGTCGGCTGGAAGCTGAAATAGGGACTCGTCCAACCGCTGCCCCGCCGCTGCGCTGTCCATCACCCATCTGCAAGTTGATATAAGGTGTGGTGCCAGCAGTGACCAGAGAGGCCTTTCAGGCAAGCAACGATGCGGGCTGACTGCGGGCCACGGCCAGCAGGCGACATCCAGAGCGAGAGAAATGTGCCTGTCAGGCTCCCGCACTCTCACCTGAGGTCCACAACCTCCAGGCCCCACTTGTGCCGGTTGCGCAGCGCAGACCGAAGCTTGTCTGAAACGGCGCCGCCGCCGCCGCCGCCGCCCGCGGGCGGCAGCAGGGCACTGACCGGCACCGCCAGGTGCGTGCAGCGCCGGGAGAGGTTGGGGGAGTAGCTGCATGCGTGGGATGGAGGGGACGAGCAGCGCGCCGCTCCACAGCTGTCGTAAGGCATCCAGTAGCTGTCGGGGGCGGCGGGCGGCGGCGCAGCTCAAAGTCAGCTTGCTTCTGGGGGCTGACTGCGGCGCTCTTCACCTGCCCCCCGCCCTCTCAATCAGCTGCTGCACCAGGGCGCGCTGCTCCCTCGGCATCGAGGACACACACACGAGCAGGCCGCCGGCCCAGCCGCCCTCCTCCTCGCAGGCGGCCATAGCGTCCTGCTGAATGACAGTACTGCAATCAGCACCCTGGCGAGGCCTAATGCTGCTGCGTGCTCCGCCGTGCTGGGCGATCAAGTGCTGATGTTCAGGAAAATTGCTCACCCTGCAATTCAGCAATGCAGGATGCAATGGAACTGCGACGGCAGGTCACAGCATACACCCTGGCCCTGTGCCGGGCAATCACATCGTGCAGAGACCTCCAGCACTTGCTGCAGCTCCTGCAGCAAGCCGTCAGCGCTCTGTCGGAGGCCGCAGATGCACCTGACCCGGACACAAGCAACGCCGAGGCAGGGGAGGAGCTGGGCGCTTGCCTCGCCGCACTGGCGGCAGCGGCGGCGGCAGCGGCGGCAGAGCCAGGGCAGCGGCGAGACCTGCTCCACCAGCAGTTCTATGCATCCTCCGCCTTTCAGGACCTCTCGAATGCACTCCTAACAGGTGAGCTGAGGGGTCAGGCACACGCCACATGGCTCACGGCGCTCTGGACCGCCGCTGACGCCAGTTCAAAGCGGCCCAAGCTGGCACCCTGGCCTGGCAACCCATGTCGTCCCACCAAGCCCCTGCTTGTCCCCGTTGCAGTGGTGGCGCCCGACTGGCTGCCACGCATGGACCAGCAGCAGCGGCATGATCTGTTTGGTGCCTGGTTTGAGCGAGCACCCGCCGCTGCTCTCCTCCCAGCTCTCACCAGGTGCCCTGCTGCTCCCTATAACCCTGCTTGAGCGGTTGAAGCAGCAGTGGGTGAAAGGTGCTGCGCCTGTCACCCCAGGTCTCTCATTCTTTCCTTAACAGCTTCATATGCCCGTTTACTCAAGGAACCGCCTCCCCGCCCGCCCTGTGCCGCAGCCACCTGTCGGCGGTGCAGCCCAGCAGCCTGCCGGCCCGGGGCGGCAGGGCCCACGTCACCGCCGTGTCTGCTGCAGAGGCGGCTGGCATGCTGGCAGAGCGCTTCGCTGCGCCAGCCAGCCCCGGCGTGGCGCAGCTGCTGCGGCACGTTGCAGCAGCTGCTGCAGCGGCAGCCTCTGGGGGTGAAGCCCAGGCCAGCGGTGGCTCCTCGCCAGCGACAGCAGGCGCAGCGCAGCAGGAGGCCCTGGCCGCTGCGCTGGCCTCGGCGCCGGAGCGGGCGGCAGCCGTGCCGTTGGCTGAGCTGCAGCCTGGCTCGTTTGTGCCAACGGTGGCTGGGCAGCTGCTGGAGGCACTGGCAGCTGACAGTTGCCTGCTAGCGATGGAGACAGAGGGACCCCAGCAGGATGACCAGCCGCGGGGCGCAATCGCTGAAGCGGCGGCGGCGGCGGCAGCAGCCACGGCGTTTGTCGCCGACGTGCTCGCTCGCTTCTGCCGGCGCGGCCACCAGCAGCTGGTTGCGGCAGCGCTGCTGCGGCAGCTGCGCCAGGGCGAGCAGCCGCCATCGACTGAATCCGGGCGGCAGCTGGCCAGCGGCATCGTCGCTGCCATGCCAGATTCGGCGGCGCTAGACAAGCTGCTGGAAGCTGCCCTGAAGCAGGCGGCGGCAGCCGCAGTACCAGTGCAAGCGGTAGCAGCACCAGCACAGGATGCAGGAGGCGAGGTTGGCTCAGAGCCATCCCTACCAGCCGCACTCTTGGCGCTGGATGCACCCCCCGCCTCCGACCCGGCAGCACAGGCCGCGGCGGCGGTGCTCTCCAGCCTGCTGCCTCCGGCGGTGTGGCGGGCCCGTGCCGACGCCCGGCTGCTGCTCACCGTCAAGCTGCTGGTGCAGCAGCAGCGACGCCTGCTGCCGCTGCCCGCGCTGCGCGGCCTGCTCCTCTTCCTGCAGCGCCAGCCCGCGGCGGCCGGTGCTGCCGCCACCACGGCCAGCGACGGTGGCTCCAGCGGCGGTTGGCTGCCCGAGGCGGCTGCGCGAGTGGCTCAGCTGTGGGGGGACCCTTCGGCGGTGCAGCGCCTGTCGTCGCAGCAGCAGGCGTACCTGACGGCGGCGCTGTGCTGCAGCCTGCGCATGCTGGAGCGGCGGGAGCTGGAGGGGCACCCCCAGCTGCTGCAGCTGCTGCTGGCGGGCATCACCGCCCGCCTGGACAGCCCGCTGCTGGTGAGCGGCCCGCCCTGTTGTACCGCAATACTTGCGGAGCAGCTGCGGCTGCAGTGCTGCCAGCGCCTTATGGGCTGCAGTCCTGCCAGCTCAGCGCTCATGCCAGTGCCCTACCACCAGCCACGCCTGCAGTCCCTCTGATGTATGCCTGCTTCCGTGCCCGTGCCGCAGAGCGTGCGGCGGCAGGCGATGCGGGTGGGCCATTCGCTCTCGGCTCTGCTGGACCCCTCCAAGCCGCCTATGTTTGGAGAGGATGACCCCCAGCTGCAGCAGCTGCTGCCAGAGGAGGCCTGGTACGAGCAGGCGGCGGCAGCAGCAGCGGCGCCCCGGCAGCTGAAGCAGCCGCCGCAAAAGGCTGGTGGTGCCGCCGCCACAGGCGCCCCCGGCGCCACGCCCGGCAAGGGCAGCGGGCGGCAGGAGCGGCGCGAGGCACGGGAGCGTCGGCGGCGCGAGCGGGAGGCGCGGCGGCAGCGGGCGCGGGAGGAGGAGGCCGAGGGGCCTCTCACCGAGACCGACAGCGACGATGAAGTGGGAGGCATCGGCGACAATGCCAGCAGCGTGACGAGCAGCGGTACCGCATGCAGTACCTCCAGCGGCGAGTTCGAGCAGTACGATCTGGAGGAAAGCGACGAGGAGGACCCGGCGCGCAGCCGCCTGCAGGTGGGCGGCAGGGAGGGAGCAATGACTGACATGAAAGACATAGGCACGCAATTTCCCCCCGACTTGCTGTCTTGTCTTCCTGATGCGCCTCTCCCCCACATCCACCACTAGCAGCCCACCCCACACAGACATACACATGCACTCTCTCTCTCTCTTGCACGCGCACACACACCGCCATGGGTGTCTCCCTCCTGTCCGGCTGCAGCTGCGGGACCTGCCCAAGATGCTGCTGAGCAAGGCTGAGGAGGACTGGCGGGGGCAGCTGCGCGCGCTGCGGCACGCCGAGTACCTGATACGGGCCGCGCCCGACGAGCTGGAGCAGTACGCAGGTGCGGTGTAGGCGGTACATGCCGTACACACGGGGGCAGCACGGATTTGGAATGGCGTGGAATGTTGCAGGTCTCCCTCTCGGTGCAGCTGGCTCCAAGCCCAGCACGAGGTAGCACTTCATGCAGTTGCTGGCGGGCGGCGTGAGACTCTGAGAAGCTGCGCCGCCGCCCCGCCGCGCTCTGCTGCAGTGCCCATTGCGCGGGCGCTGGTGCACACCAAGGTGCCGGGGTGGATGGATGAGGAGATGCCAGAGGGGGGCCCGCCCGCCAACATGCAGCGCTTCAGGTGTGGGGCGGGGCAGGCACCCTTGATGCTACCACTCAGCCTGGGCCAGGCCCCTGCATCCGGCACCAGCAGCCAACCAACAACAGCACACCGGCCGGCCGTCTGGCGCCGCCTGCGCTGCTTCGGCATGCCCCTGCAGGGATGTGGTGTCGCTGCTGGCTGGGGCGCCCGAGCCTGCGGGCCTGGCGCTGGCTGCAGAGATGTATGGCCCCAGCATGGGTGAGGACGCTGTGTGTGTGGGTGTGCGTGTGTGTGTGTGCGTGTTTGTGTTCGCAAGCGGTTTGGGTGGGTGGCCGGCCGAGCAGCCCTCATGCTTGACGTCATCCAGTAGTCGCCTGCCCCACTTGTTCCTGCCGTGCCGATGCCCCTGCCTTTGCTGCTGCCTGCTGCCTGCTGCCTGCAGACGTGTACCAGCGGGCCATGATCCTGGATGGCATGGCGGCAGCTGCAGCCGAGATTGCGACCCCCGGGGCCTCCCTGCCGCCGCTCCCGGGCCTGCACACGCAGCAGCAGCGGCAGCTGGGTCAGGGCACGGCGGCAGCAGCCAAGGCGGCGGCAGCAGCGGCGGCCTCGGGACTGACGCCCGAGCAGCAGCGCCTGCTGTCCACCACCGCCGACGGCAGCAAGCGGATCGGCACCGTCACCCGCATCGCCTCGCGCAGCCTGGCGGCGGCGGCGGCAAGGCAGGGCAAGCCCGTGCCGCGCGCCAACAGGTGGGGCCAGCAGCAGCCAGCGCATCACCGCCTCGTGCGGCCCTCACTCTCCCACTTGCCCTGGCCTGCCTGCTCCCGCTTCTCCCTTACTTCGGCCCCGCTCCCTCCCTCCCTGCTCGCCGCTCTTGAAACCAGGTATTTGCCCAGCCACCCCAACCCCTTTCCAACCCCTCCCGCAGGTTCCCTCCCATCGCGCTCAAGTGGGCCGCCGCCCTGCTGCGCCACTGCGACGAGCCGCACCAAGGCGTGGACCTTCTGGGCAGGGACCACTTCCTGTTGGGCAAGCTGCTGGTCACGCTGGGTGAGGGGGAAGGAGGGGTGGCGGCTCTGGGTGGCTGGGCTGGGCGGGTAGGCGGGGAAGCGGGCGGCCGGGTGGGTGGTGGCCTCCCCGTTTGGCCTCCCAGGCAGGGCGGCAGCAGAGCAGCGCTGGTGCGGGCAGAGTGTTCTAGGCCTATGCTCCCTGTCCTTCCCCGCCTCCCCCCCCCCTCTCCACATACACACACACGCACACACACACCACCACCACCACCACCCCACCGGACCGCTCTCTGCCACTGCGCAGGCTCCTTTCTGGAGGCCAGCGCGCAGAGCAGCGAGGCCGCCACCTTGGCAGCCGCCACCCTGGAGCTGCTGCGCTGCGAGCGGGTGCACGGCCACCCGGAACCCTACGTGCGCCGCGCCGCGCTGCTGGCGGCGGGGCAGGTGCTTGGCGCGGTCCCGCCGGCCAGGCTGGCTACCGCAATGCTGGGTGCGGCGGCAGGAGGCGCCGGCGGAGCTCCCGCGGTCCTGCCGGCGGCGGTGGCTGCGCGGGATGCCGCGGACGAGGCGCTTGTGAGCCGGCTGGAGTGGCTGCGGCAGTGGGTGGAAAGCGTGGCGGAACAGGACACAGACGACAGCTGCAGGCGAGTCTTGCCATGGCTGGCGGTCGCTTCTTTGGCGGGAGGCCTGTGGTGCTTCGGGGCTGTGATGCGCAGCCAGGCTGCCAGCTTGGTCGCAGTGCTAAGCAAGCCGGGTATGCATGGGTGCCTTGAACGTGGGCAGACGCAGCGGGCAGCCGCAGGGAAACCGTGGCTCGCCATTGCTGCTGGTCGCGCACGCCACCCCATGCATGCCCACCCGCCTCTGCTTTCCCCCCGCTGCAGAATGATGGCCGGCGGCGTGCAGAAGCTGCAAGGCAACCTGGCGGCGGGGGCCCTCCAAGCTCTGGGCAGCAGCCAGCCGGCGTCGCCTCTGGAAAGCGGCTCGCTGCTGCCGCTGCCCCAGGCAGGCGGCGGCGGGCCGGTGGGGCTGCCATCCAGGGGGCTGCGGCTGCCAGACATCCGCCTGCCTTGAGAGGCGCTGCACCCACGCCGAGGTGGCAGCTGGGCGCTGGCTCTGTTGACTGGCGATTGTGTTGTGTTGCATGATTGTACGTTGAGCGGCGCATGCTGCCCTGTGTGAGGCATGGCAGGTGGAACAGAAAGAAAGAATGAGAACAAGTGCGTGTGTCAAAACTGCAGTTATTGCAAAAAATATTGCAATGGCCTCGCTGGCGCTGGGAGGGTTGCGCGGATCACTGGGTTGCCGCACCCGCCTGGGCAGCCGGGAAAGACACCGCTGCCGCCGCTCCTGCCACCCCGCCTGCCTCCTCCTCAGGCTCAGCCGTCCAGCCCTCTGGCTCGCCTTCTGCCAGCTCAGCAGCCAGCTGGACAGCCTCCTGCAGGATACGGGCCGCCACCTGCCGGTTGTGCTGCATGAGCCTGGCCTTGAGCCTGCGGGTCGCCGCGTGAGCCGCTGAGCTGGCGCCGCGCTCAAACAGCCGCAGCAGCGCGGCCGCATAGCTGCCCTCCTCTGGAAGCTCCTCCCCCTCGCCCACCACCTCCTCCTCCTCCTCCTCCTCCTCCTCCTCCTGTGCGTTGCTGCCGTCGCCGCTGCTACCGCTGAGCTCCTGGCCTGCTGTGCTGGCCAAGTATCCAGCAAGGCGCCGCGCCCGCCGCAGCGTGGCTGCACCAGCGTCGTGGCCCACCTCGATCCCACCTCCCAAGCCGCCGCTGCCTGCGTGCTGCTCGCCTCCCTCCTCCTCCTCAGGCACGCCTGCCTCCTCCTGCTCTTCCGAAGGCCCCTCCTGCTCCTCCTCCTCCTCCTCCTCCTTGCTCCAGTGCTCGTCAGAGCTGAATGGGCCGCCGCCGCCCAGCATCACATCTGCATCCATCCACAGGTACTGCTGGGAGTCGAGCCGCGCAGTCTCGGCGATGTCGGGAGATGGGGCGCCGCTGGGCGGCTGGTAGGCTACCACCGCCTGGCGGGAGAGGAAGCTGTAGGCTCCGCGCACCCTGCAGTGGCAGCATCGATGCGCGGCAGACAGCGTCACGGCAGCATGGCGGCAAAGCAGAGGTGTGGGCAGGGTGGGACAAGGGCGGGGCAGGGGGGGGGGCAGGTGGCAGCGATGCACCAGCACAGCAGCGATGGCGGCAGGGTGATGCTCGCGCTGCCATGCCCGCTGGTCTCCCACCCAGCCCCCCACCTGCTATCTGCCACCAGTGGCGTGCCCACGTTGATGGCTGTGGCAATCGTGCTGCTGGTTTTACTGACCAGATATATCTCTGCAATAAGCGAAAGAAGCGCGGAAAGAAAGTTATCAGTTGAAAAAAATGCAGGGCTGTTGCGTGTGGCTCAATGCAACTCGCATTTACATGAGTTGCGGCATGCCTACCTGAGGCAAAGGCGGGCAGGATGGCGCGGCAGCGGGACAAGGTGTCGTAGTAGTCCTGCAGCCTAGCAAGGCAGGCAATACACCTCAGGCAGGAATGGCATGTGCGCCAGGCATGTAGAAGTCATGTAATGTCCACCAGGCAGCCAGCCAGCCCAGCCCAGCCCTGCCCAGCTTGCCGCGCGGCAGTCCCATGCCACAGGGTGCCAGCAGCGCGCACCCGGTACGGCAGGCCGCTGATGTTGCGTGCCACTCCCGCCAGGTGGCGCGGGATGGCCAGCGCCCGCTGGCTCGACACGTGGCCCAGCAGCAGCAGGGACTCGTCGCGGCGCGCCAGCTGGGCCAGCACCGCGGGGTGGGACACCGCCTCAAAGGCAGCAGCGTAGTCTCGCCGCTGAGGGTCCAGGATGCCCTGTTAGGAAAGGAGGAGGGGCGGGGAGGGGCGGAAGGCTGCGGGGATGGTGAGGTGTGGGTGCGGGCCGGTGAAAGCAGCTTCGACAAACCCCAAAGGCTCCAAGATGGCCCTGCCTGGCCGCTCGCTCTCAAAAAACAAAAATCCTCTGCTTACCTGGATGCACAGGTGGCGGTGGGTGTGGCTGCCGCTGAACAGACGGTCGCTGAGGGTGCTGACGTCGGGCGCGGCGCCCGTGCTGCCCTCTGCCCGCCCAAAGCCGGCGCCCGGCGCAAAAGAGGGCAGCCAGGGTGCCAGCGGCGCGATCCAGGGGACGGTGACGGTTCCGGCAGGGCCACGGCTGCTCAGCGCCCACTGCTCCAGCAGCGCTGTGAGGTAGGTGGAGGTGGAGGGAGCCAGCGTCAGCAGCTGCAGGCGGCGCAGCTGCGGCTTCGGCCACCTGTCCCGCCGCTGCCACACGTCCCTGCACGCATGGCGGCGCCGGCGGCGGCGGGGAGCGGGGCCGGGCAGTGTCGAGGTGGCAGGCAGGGGAGGGGCCGCGGCCGCGCAGCGCATGCAGCATGCACAGCGTGGCGACCAGGGCGCCGCCGTGTGTCCCATGGGAGAGCCCCAGGCCAACAGGTTGGGTCCTGGGCCCCAGCACCAACACCAAACATACACACCCGGCACAACGAGCACACCTCCCTGCCGCGCCCACCTGTGCACGCGCTGCATGGCCACGAAGCGCGCCCAGCGCGCGGGCTTGCGCCGCCGCAGCAGGAAGTCTGCGTTGTGCACCACCGCCACAAAGCGCTGGGCCAGGCGGCGGGCGGTGTTGCGCCGTGGCAGGGCGGCGTGCATGAGGGCATCCAGCACGGTGGTGTGGGCCTCTGGAAAGGTCGCCAGGGCAAACACATCGTACTGCAGCAACAGCAGGGTGGCCGACCAACGGCAGGGCGAGGCATGGATTAGTTTGTTGCTGCAGATCGCTGCCGCACGTGGGCTGCGGCGGCGGCCGTTGTGGCGGGGCAGGCTGAGCGTGCCTGATAGGCGTCGTCGAGCACGTTGCCGGCCGGGTAGTGGGCGCCCAGGAACCAGCCCTCCATCACCTCCTGCAGCCCCAAAGCCCACACCGAACACTAAGGACCTTGAATTGCCAGCTGGCAACCACAGGCTCGCACACAAGCTGGAGCCTGGCAGGTGACACCCACCTTGATGCCAAAGATGTTCTTGGTGGGGAGATAGAGAGTCACGTTGCAGCCGGCCGCCTGCGCAAGCAGATGGCTTGCTTTAGTGCTATGGGTGTGGTAGGCGCCTGCGGATCCTGCCACGCGCTGCCGATCAGCAGGGCGAAGCGGCAGCGGCAGCGCACCTGGAAAGCGTACGCCAGGCCCGCCGCCACATCCAGGTGCCACGGCCTGTTGTTGACCACAGCGCAGCGCAGCTGCCGCTGGTCGGGCGCCCTGTGATGCCGACTGCCCTGAGCAGAATCCTGCTGCTGCTCCTCCTCGATAGAGCTGTCCCAGATCTCCAACTCTTCATCAGCACCCTGCTGGCCTACCTCCGCCTGCGCCTCCTCCCCACCACCCTCACCACCCTGCACCTGCTGCTCTGCAGCTGCGGTGCCGCTCCGCTGTTGCTGCTCGTCCCAAGCCTGCTCGCCAGCGCCCTCCTCGCCATCCTCCGCAAAACTGGGCCCCTCCTGGAGCGCCTGCAGCTCTTCTGCCGCTAGCGCTGCCTGCCGCTCTTCTGCCGCTGGCGCCGCCTGCACCTGCTCGTCGCTGTCCCCGGCGCTGCCGCTGCCGCTGCTGCCAACAGCGCTGCCACCACCCTGGTCGGTCGCGCGTGGGTCTGGTGCCGCCAAGCCGGCCTCTGCCGCTGCCTGTGGCTGCTGCTGCATCTGGAGACCATTCTTCTCCAGGATAAGCCTTTGGAAGCTGGCACCAGCCTGCATCAGGGGTGCGGCGGCGGCAGCCTGGTCAAATTGGCGGAGGGGTGCAGGGCTGCCAGCGCTTGCGGCGGCGCGGCGGCTCAGGGCCGGACACATGTCCTAACACAAGTTAGGAGGCCCCCAAGGCCCGCTGGCTGGCTGACGGCATCCCGCATGCAATTCACCCAGGCATACACAGCCGTGACAACCAGGCGGAGCGATGGCAGGGGAGACGGAAGTACTGCACCACGGTGCACCAGCTGGCATGCACATTCGGTTGGCGGGCGGCTGGCGGGCGGCGGCAGCCGCGCCCCACCGCGCTGCGCTGCGCAGGCTGCAGTCGCACCTGCTCGTTGCTTCCGGCTCCCATGGGCTCCTGAAGGGCAGCGCCTGAGTAAAGTACGACGAAAAACAGCAGCGAGAAAGCAGCCACTGGCCTCCAGGGCCCCTGCAATCGATTCCATCTTGCTGTTGCAGACCCTGACCGGCCGCCGGACGACCAGGGAGGGTGCCGCCCCCTGGGCAGCATGGCAACAACAGGGTGCACGCACAAGAGGCGTCGGCACCACAACCACAATAAAAAACAATGACGCATCGCTTTGGGGCGCAAATGCGCCTTTTTAGCAGACATCTCCCGCTGCCGCGCTCGGCCTGCTGTGCCGCAAACGCGACTTGCCGCCAGGTGGCGACAGGGCCTCCCCGCTCTGTGAAATCGTCCAGCCGAGCACATCATGGGGCATCGTGCAGCAATATATTGGCGAGGCAATCCTACGCCTGCTTGCCACAAGAGGCCCCTGTGTCTGCGTCAAAGTGGCGGAGGGTGGTGCACTAGTGCGCTTACACAACTATTAGATCAGTGAAGCATGCCGGGCAGGTGCATGGTGCCGACAGAGGGGAGAGTGTTGTGAGGTATTCCGAGGAGCAATGGGCTAGAGTAGGGGGCGCAGAGGCCTGAGAGGTGTACAGTAGGAAACAAAGGGAACACATACTTCCAATCTGATCCAATGATGCAGCACAACGGCCAGGGCCCCTGCGGCCCTCAGCCTCCAATCTTGACCATGGCGCGGTTCTTGGCGCCCGCCAGCTCAAACATGCCGGCGTGCGCGGCGCGCTTGCGGTCCACCGCCGCCGACACAATGGCGCGCAGGTCGTCGTCCGTGGCGCCCTCCCGCATCGCCTCGCGCAGGCTGACCTCATTGGCGCCAAACAGGCAGACCTTGAGGTTGCCGTCGGCCATCACGCGCAGGCGGTTGCAGTCTGCAGCGATGGGCATGCGCCGAGCATGAGCGGGTGTGGCGGCGACGGCGGTGCGGGTGTCAAGCTGTCGCGGCAGCCCAGGCGCTGCGCCGGCTGGCCGCAGCACGCGGCGCTGGCGCCCCACCTGAGCAGAAGGCTTTGGTCATCGAGGTGATGAAGCTGACGGTGCCGCGGAAGCCGGGGACCTGCGGGGGAAGAGGGACACTGGTGGTTGGCTGGTCGCAGGCAGCCAGGTGCACTAGCAGGAGCACAGGCTAGAAGCACGCGACGACACCCGTGCGCCGCAGAGGAACCGCGCCGGCGCAGCCGTGCAGGGCGAGGCAGCTGTGCAGAGAGGGGAAGGAGGGGTGGGGTGTGCTGGGGTGCAGCGCTCACCCTGAAGTTTTTGGCCACCTCGCCCCGCGGGTCGTCGCACCGCTCCAGCTCCCCAAACCGCGCCTGCACCGCGGCCAGCATGTCCCTGCAGGTGCAGCAGCAGGGGGCAGGGGCCGCCGATCAGCATGTGCAGGTCAGTCCTTGATGCAGCAGCTCACCAAGGTGGGCCAGCATGACACACAGGCCCCGCAACGCCGCCTTGGCAGCCACCCACACCCACACGTCCAAGTGTGTTCATACACACAGACGTGGGTACGCCACGCCCCAGCCAGCCCCCTGCCAGCCCGCCCGCAGGCCCACCCGTAGGGAGCCAGCTTGGGCTCGCTCCACACGTTGCCGTCAAAGGGCATGTACTCGATGAAGCGCACGTTGATGGGGGCGCCCCGCGTCAGCTCCACAAACGCCGGCACCTCGTCCTCGTTCACCCCCCGCATCACCACCACATTCACCTTGACTGCAGGGGTGGAGGGCAAGGTGGAGGGCGGGCGCAGCGGCGCGGTTCAGCGCTGGAGGGTGCGCGTTGATGTGGTGACAAAAGAAGCGGAGTGGAGAGGCAAAGAGGCAGGAGGCTGCTGTTTGGGGAGCAGGCCAGGCCAGCGAGGCAGGCACGCAAGCGCCCCGCAATGGTGCACGCGCCCGGGTCGTAGCCGAGCGCCACCGCCTGCTGGATGGAGGCCAGCACGCGGTCGTGGCCCTGCCGCCGCGTCATCTGCACAAACCGCTCTGGCTGCAGCGTGTCCAGGCTGATGTTGAGCAGGCTGAGACCTGAGGGAGGGTGAGGAGGCGGGGAGGGGATGCGCGATGGTTGGGATGGCGTGCACGGGTGTGTGCGGTTGTTTGGGGGATGGGGGTCAAAGCGATGGGCGAAGAAAGGACAGGCAGCCCATCTGGGCATGGAGCCGCTTGGCCCAGCTGCGCGCAGCGCAGCTTCCACACACCGCCGCAGCGCCCGCCCACCTGCATCCTTGAGCGCCGCCAGCTTGCGCCCCAGCGTCAGGCCATTGCTGGTGATGCCCACGGCACGCATGCCCGGCAGCTGGCTCAGCTGCCCCGTCAGCTCCACCAGGTCTGCAGATGGGGCCCAGGCGTGTGTGCAGGTGTGTGTGCAGGTGTATACACGTGTGCAGGCAAGAGAGGGCGAGGCAGCACGCCAAGGGCGATCGCTCGGCGCCAGAGCAGGGGTCAGAGGAGAGAGGCGCGCGACCAGCGGCGATTCCAGGCGAGGCAGCGCCCTGAAGCCCACCTGGCCGCAGCGTCGGCTCCCCACCCGTCAGCCGGATCTTGTCCACGCCCCCGGCCACAAACAGGCGCGCCTGCAGGCCAATTCCACAGTGGCGGGAGCAGCAGCGGCGTGAGGGCAGGCCCAGCAAGCGCCGCCGCCGCAGCAGCAGCAGGCTGCCACGCCAGCCCACGCTGCCGAGCTTCCTGGGGTTTGCGCAGTCCCATCATATCATCTGCCACCATGGGGCCCTCGCGTGGCGCGGCCCACTCACCACGCGCATCACTTCTTCGGTGCTGAGCAGCTGCCTGCCGGGCGTCAGATCCACGCCCTCCTCGGGCATGCAGTACAGGCAGCGCAGGTTGCACCGCTCGGTCAGGCTGATGCGCAGGTAGGTGTGCATGCGCCTGCAGGGAGTGTTGCAAGAGGGACGGGTGTTGGCGGTCGGCAGGTCGGGTGTGGTGTGGGTGCGGTTGGTTCCTTGTCTGGCATGTGCTTTGTCTAGTGCAGTGGCGTGAGGCGGCGCACGGCGCTGCGGCAGCACACTGGCATCACGCGCTGCTGCCCATGTGTGCAGCCAGGCGTGCGGCGCTTCCTGCCGTGGACGGGCGGCCACCCACCCAAACGTGTCTGTGAGCATTTGCTCCCCGCTGATGTCCTGCCCCCCGCGCCGCACAGCATCCACCACCTCCCGCCAGTCCAGCGTACTGCTGCCGCCCTCGCCGTCGCTCTCCTCTGCCTCTGGCTCCGGGGCCGGCAGGCTGCTCCTGGGCGTGCTGCTGGCAAAGCTGCTGGCAGAGCTGCTGCCGCAGCCGCCACCGCGGCTGCCGCGGAGCTGCGCCGCCACTTGCTGCGGGCTGGGCCAGGCGGCGGCTGGTTCCTGCTGGCATGCTGAGCTGGCAGTGCCGGCCATCTCCTGCAGCCTGCGCCGGTAGGCGTCCTGCTGGCGCTCATCAACGGCAGAGGGGCTGCTGCTCCCGCCGCCATGCTCGCGCTCGTCATCGCTTGCGTAGGCAGGCTGCGGCAGGGCCGACTGCCAGCGCTGCTGCTGCTGCTGCTTCTGAGATCGAAGCTGCCATTGCTGCTGCGGCGCCGGCTGCTGCACGTCCTGTTGGCAGGCGCCCGCCACGCCGCCGCCTGCCGGCCCTGCCCCAGCGGCGGCGCCGGGGTTGGTGGCCGCGGCGCCGCGCCCCGCCAGCCTCGGCAGCACAGATACACCTCGCCGCAGCATGGTGGAGCAGCCGCGGAGCCTGTCGAGCGCGTCGGGAGGGACCCTCTCGGCGAGGGCTTGGGGCAGGGAGGAGGGAGTGGCGAGTGCTCGGCTTGTCAAGCCTGCTAGATGAAAAGATGATGAAAATGTGGACGCGCCGATGAGGGTCGCCCCATGCACCCCGCCCCCCAACTCACCAGGCTCACCAAAGGGCAGGGCCCCGCTGGCTGAAGAGTGCTAAGGGAACCCCAGGGGCCACAAATTTCCAAGGCAAGGATCATGCACCGTTGCCGGGCTGCATTGGAGCGCGCTGGCCGGCCATGGCCTATTGCCTCACCCCACCGCCGCCGCCAGGCCCCCTACCGTCGGCACGGGCTTGGCAGCATGCAATTACAAGGAATGTCACACCTCCACACCATGCACACGGATCATCATGCACCCTCTCCTGCCGTTTTTTAACGTTTTCAGGCCAGGCGCGGGGCACCAAGTAGGGCGTGCCGCTCGCGCCGCCAGCGCCGCGACGTTGTCAGCATCACACAGGGCGCTCCCCACGCTGGCTCAGCTCAGTAATCGCCCTGCACCCCAGGCACACGCAGCAGGGCGCCAGTCAGCTGCCAGAGCTCCCAGCAGCACCACCACACCATCAGGCAACAGCGGCGGCGCTGGCAGCCCAGGCCCCCAGGGGCCAGAGAGCGGCGCCGGCGGCGCACGCACCCCGTCGCGCTCGCGCCTGCCGCCGCCATACTCCCGCCTGCCGCCGCCATACTCGCGCCTGCCGCCGCCGTACTCCCGCCTGTCGCCACCACCCTCCTGGTAGCCGCCGCCGCGCGGGCCCTGCTCCCTGCCACGCGCAAACTCATCCATCTTTGCGGACACCACCCGGCCGTCGATGCTGGAGCCGTGCAGCACCTGCAGGTGGGCAGGCGGGCGGCCAGGCATGAGGCGGGCGCCCGAGGCAGCCGAGGGGCAGGTGAGCAGGAACCGCAGCAGCCCACGCCGGCCCGTGGCCGCGCGAGCAAGCGCTGCGGGTGCGCCGCTGCAGCGGGCGGGGCCTCCTCGCTCGTGCCTGGCTGGGCGCCGGCAGGCCCCAACACCCGCCACGCGCAACACCCGCCACACCCAACACACACACACACCCAAACGCGCATCAGTCATACTTAATCAACCACCAGCCAGCAGCTCACCTCGATGACGGTCTGCGCGTCGGCGGGGGTCCCCATGGTGAGGATGCCCCAGCCGCGGCTGGTGCCGTCGGGGTGCGTGCGCACGTCGGCGCGCATCACGCCCTCCGTGTTGCCGCCACCCTCCTCCAGCGCGCGCCTGCGGAGCGGGGCGGGGCGGGGCGGGAGCGGGGCGGGGTGGGAGGCCACAACCGCGCGGCGACACGCACACACTCGCTAGCGGCGCAAGGCTCACGCGGCGCCAGGCGGGCCAGCCGGCGGGCCGCGCTGGGCACGCCGGGCGCTGGGCTCCTGGCCATGGCGCGGCGCGCGGGTGGCGGCGCGGCGGCCATGCTTCGCTCCCCATGTTTCTTGTGCGCCGGCTGGCGGGCACGACCCCGGCAGCCGTCCCGCATGCGAGCAGGCCAACGCCCCACCGGCCGCAGCCGCCCTGCCCGTGAGCAGGGCAGCGCCCCGGCGGCAGGGCACTCACTTGGCGAGGTCCTTGAAGTCTTGCCACTGGAAGTCAGTGATGGGTAGGCCATGCACCACCACCCGAGTGTCCGGCTGCAGGGCGCAGGCGGAGGGGCGCGCGGACGGCGGCGCCGGCGGCGTCAGGGGAGGTGCGGGCCGGCGGCAGGCTCTCTCTCCATCCAGGCACGGAACAGGTGCGGAGCCAGCCGCGGTCAGAGCAATCTGCGGGAGAGCGAGGCCCCGCGCAGCACAAGTGCTCCCCGCCGCATGGGGCGCCCGGCGTGGGGTGGCGCCAGCGCCGGCGGCGGGGGTGCACGTGCGGCGGACTCACGGCGGACTGGTAGCCTCCCTGCCTGGGCGCCCGGTTCTGGTAGCCCTGAGAGAAGTCGCGAGGGCCATCCCTGAACTCACGCGGCCCGTCCCGGCCCGGGCCGCGCACCTGCCGCTTGTCGCCGCGGTCCTCCCTGCAAGCCCGCCAGGGCAGCCAGCGCCGGCGTCAGCCCCTGCAGGTTTGCAGCAGGCAGCAGGCCGCCCCGGGGCAAGCAGCCGCTCCGGCCGTGGCGCAGTGCCGCCGCTGCGTGCCCCGCAGCGGGCAGCCTGCCAGGCTGCGCGCCCCGCAGCGGGCAGCCTGCCAGGCTGCGCGCCCCGCAGCGGGCAGCGGCCCTTTGGACGCCGGCCGCGGCCCGCCCGCCCACCTGACTTGCAGCTCCCGGCCGTCCAGCTGGGAGGTGTGCAGGCGCTCGATGGCGGCACTGGCCTCCTCCGCGCTCTCAAACTCCACAAACCCAAAGCCCTGCGACTGGCCCGTGTCCCGCTTGCGCACGATGCGGGCGCTGGTCACCGAGCCCGCCTGCCCAAAGTGCTCGGCCAGCACCTGCGGGGCAGCCGGGGGCAGGAGGGCGAGGTGTGGGGCTTAACAGAGGGAGCGGGAGGGCGACAACATCATGGGGGTGGCAATGGCAAGCAGACGGCACACCGCGCCTGAGTGCAGCCGCCACCCCAGCCTAAAGCCCAGCCAGCCAGCCGGCGGCAGCCCACCTCGTCGGCAGTGTCCCAAGAGATGTTGTTGACAAACACGCGGGTGGGCTTGGGCGGCGCGGGCGCGCGCCTCTGGGCGTAGCCGCCCTCCTGGGCGAAGCCGGCGTCGCTGCCGGCGGGCTCCTCGGGCTCGCCGGCCTCTGGGCTGACCTCTGGGCTGGCGGCCTCCAGCTCCGCCTCGGCGCTGCTCTCGCTCTCCGCGCCCTCAGGGTATGCCGCCACAGAGAACCACCGGCTGCCTTGGTGGAGCTGCGACCAGCGCTGCTGCTTCAGGAGGAAGGGGCTGGCGCCGGCCAGGAGGGGGCGCACAGCCAGGCGAGGGGCGGCGGGCGCGGCCAGCGCCGCCGGCATGGCGGCGCAGGTGATGGCCGCGACCCCGCGCCCGGCCAGGCGCGGCAGGCGTCTCATCACGGCGGACATGCTGCTGCGGCGGGTTTCTGCTGGGCGGAGGCTGGTGGATCAGCCGTCTGCCAACTGATGCAGTGGCCCCAGCAGCAGTGTAAGCCTCCGTGCTCCCCTCCTTGACACAGCGAGAGTGGTGTGCCTCGGGCAGCTTTGGGTTGCCCGTTTTCACACGCGCGCATGCATGGGAAGGAAAGAGTGGCGCCGCGTCCGCCAGGTGAGCGGCGGCGCCGCCGCCGCCTGCATGACACGCTCAGAGAGCCGCAGCCCCGCTTACAATGAAATGTTGGTATCGAGTAAAGCATGGCACAGTAAACTACAGGCAAAACTTGATGTGAGGGAGCCGCCCGCCGCGCTGCCGCCGCTCCTCACAACCCGTGCACCGTCTTCTGCACTGCCCGCCACTCGGGTCCCTCCCCTTCCGCCGTCAGGTCACATTCCAGCACCTTGTCCGCCCGTTTGGCCGCCAGCACCTCGTCATCCTCGTCGAAGGCCTGCAGGGGAGGCAGGAGGAGGCACGCAGGTGGGGAAGGCCGCATGAGGGCGCGCCAGCGGCAGCGCAGCACAGGCCAGGCACCTGGCACGCGCAAGCTTCCACAGTGTGCATGCGCATGTGCATGCCACATGCAGGCAGCGCAGGCAGGCGGGCCGAGCAAGCAGGCATCGCCATGCGCACAGGCAGCTTGAGCAGTGCCGGCAAGCAGGCCGGAGCAGGCAGGGCTGGGCGGCGTGCCTTTGTGAGGTCTATCAACTCCTCTTCTCGCTCCCGCTTCACCCGCGTGGCCGCTGCCTGCCGCTGAGCCTGCTGCTGCTGCTGCTTGAGCGGCCGCTTGCGCCCCGCCCCCGACGCCGCACCGCGCGAGGGCCCCGCCGCACTCTCATCATTCTCCTCCCCCTCCTCTCGCTCCGCCGTGTCTGCAGCGCGGCGGCGCAGCGGCGGCGAGGAGCGCGAATGGATGCGTTCTGCAGCACAGGGTGCACATGCAGCGTCCCCAACGCAGCATGTAGGCGCAGCCAGGCGCAGCCGACCCCCCACCTGGGAACTGCTGCAGGATGGCGCGGTGCGCTGGGTTGTCGCGCTTCAGGATGCCGCGCAGCAGCAGCGTGGCGGCGGTCTCGTACCGCAGCTCCAGCTCCGCCGTGGGCTGGCCTCCATCCAGCATGATGAAGGTGCGGGTGTCGAAGCCGGATCCCAGCTTCAGCTCGCCCTTGCCGGTGGTCAGCGAGGGCGCCAAGAAGAACTGCATGCGCCAGCGAGGCGGGGAGGATGGGGGAGGTAGGCAGGCAGGCAGGCGGCAGGCATGGGCCTGATACTGACATGCATGCAGCCGGCTGCAATGAATGTGAGGCCGCCAGCTCCAGGCACCATGCACGACGTCATGCGTGATGAGCATAAGGGGTTGTGTGGCTGCTGATAAGGCGGCAGGCGGAGGGTAGGGGCGCACCTTCTTGCCCTCGGGCATCTTGGCGATGGATTCGTTGGTGGAGTCCGGTCCATAGTACCGTGGCAGCGCCGCCCGGTCCCCAGTGAACTGTGCTCGGTACACCTGCTGGCCAGAGCCGGACAGGCAGGAGTGGGCGCCCGGCGGGGAGGCGCAGCAGCGGCAGCGCTGCACGGCCCCGAGCGTGTGCCGACCTGGCACCGAATGCTGCCTTCTTGGAAGTTGAGGCCCGTGACCTGCTTGGCTGCCGTCTCCACTGGCTTGCTGAACACAAAGGACTGGTAGGCGGTGCCGTGCGCATCTGCAGAACAGTTTTTGGGGGGGGGCGGGCTTTGAGGGCACGAGGTGGGGTGCATGCGGCGTCCTCCTGCTCGCAACTGCGCTGCCGGCACAGGCTTTGGTTTACCTCCAGCCTTCAGAAAGCCCTCGAAGTCGCCGAACCTGGGCTTCTCGAACACCTTGTTGTACCCCACATACACTCCGTCCATGAACAATTTGGCCTGTATCAGAGAAGGGCGACCGCAGAGGAGAAGGGCGGCCACAGGTGGATGGTTGGCGGGCGTGGAGCGGCGACGGCGACGGCACATCCCCCACTCACCATTCTGTGGCTGCCGTCTAGCTTGCTGTAGCCCGGGCGCTGCGCCAAGCGCACTGTGAAGGGGTCGCCAGGCGAGGCCACCGCGTATGCCCTGCCGTTGTGCTGAACCTCAGGCAGCAGCTGACCGCCTGCGCCGACCAGGTTGAGTGAGTACTCGCCCAGCCGCACCATGGCGGTGTTATCGGAGAGTCAAAACGGCGATTTGAGTAGCGGAGCAGCAGGCGACAGTCACTGAAGCTGATGGATCGCTTTGGAGCTGATCATCGTCCCTGTCTGCAACAGATGGGGCCTCTATAGGGGGCTTTGGCAGATGGCATCTCTACTTGTACTTACTCAGGTACCTCAAGCTGAGTCGGCCAGCGTGGAACAGGAGCTGCAGCCCATCAGGAGTGCCGTGCTGATCATTGCTGACGGATCCTGACCATCTGGTGACGAAGCTTGGCCCGGTCACCCCCAAGCCGAGCTGCGGGCGGCAGCGGCGGCAGACCTGCGGCGGTGGCGGCGCCACTCCCAACCCATCGGCCGCAGTCATGCAACTTTGCCGTGCCTCTGCATATGCGCCAATCCCATGCATGTGATCACCTCTAGCCGCCTTCTACGAAAGGCCTTTCGTACTGATCTCTCTGCCACTTGGCAGCCAAATCACAGGTGATAGCTCCAGAAGCAATTGCAGCCTGCTCTCGTCAAAGCTGCAGCCAGCCGGCCCAGGCAGCCAGCCGGGAGTGGAGACTGCTGCCGCTGTTGGTAACAAAAGTCCGAGACGGGACGGCTAGCAAAAAGGACCAGTGGCGTGTAGGTGCGTGAGACAGGGTTGTGGGATCGCTGCAAGGTCCAGGGAGGCTGCGCGATAGGGATGCCAGGCACGTGGGGACCATCGCCCATGGATGGCCATAATTTGGCTCCCGCCTGCACGAATCTGCAGTGCAGGCCGGGATGAGCTCAACCGTTGGGAGCGGCGTGCCGGCGGGGCCTAGCACAGGCAACAGCACGGCCGCCGCCGCCACCGCCGACGCGACGTCCCTCGAGTTGGCGCTGACCAACTTCTGGCTGCTGATTTGCGCGGCGCTGGTGTTCTTTCAGCAGTGCGGCTTTGCGCTGCTGGAGGCGGGCAGCGTGAGGCAGAAAAACGTCAGGTGGGTGGGCCAAGCGTACGCAGTGCTTGCACATATGGTCAGGTCATGTACCATATAGCACCGTACAGCATACCTCCTGTATGCACATTCTGCGTTGCCATTCTGGAGCCTCCCAACACCCGCCCACTGTCCGCTCCCCTTCGCAGAAACATCCTGTTGAAGAACACCATAGATGCGTCCGTGGCAGTAGCAATGTGGTTTGCGGTGGGAGCGGCGTTTGAGGGGTCCGGCGTGTGTAGCGGCAACGCCTTCATCGGCACCACGGGCTTCTTCCTGGCTGGTGACGTGACCTCTAGTAAGTGCCCTGGGCCTGGCTGGACGCCCTGGTAGGCCTCGCGGCCTCGCTCCTGATCTTCTCCTCCCCCACCAGCCTGCCCGCCTGCCGGCTGCCCCGCCCAACCGGCGCCGCCCAGCGCCCGGGGCCCTCGCCACGCCCCGCACCCAGCCTGCCGGCCCGCCTGCCTGCCTGCCACAGGGCCGGGCTACCTGTCGCGCTGGTTCTTCGGGTGGGCCTTCTCCGCCACTGCCTCCACCACCGTGTCGGGCGCGGTGGCCGAGCGGCTGCGCTTCAGATCCTATGTCATGTACACGCTGGCCATCACTGGGCTGGGTGAGGGCGCCCGCCGCCTCCCGCCTGCCTGCCGCTGCTACATGGTGTGCCTGCCCTGCCGCCCTGCCGCCACGCCGCGGCCCTCCAAACCCTGCCGCTGAGCCGCTACCTGCCGCCTTGCGCCCTGCGTGCTCTGGCGTGCAGTGTACCCCGTGGCGGCGCACTGGGTGTGGAGCCCCGTCGGCTGGCTGTCCCCCACTCGTGTGGACTGCGCCACTGGGGAGCGGGTGTACACCTTCAGCAATGCAGTGGGGCTCATAGATTTCTCCGGATCTGGTGCGCCTCCCTCTCTCCCCATTCATGCTGATTGTGATCAGTGGTGGGGTGGGGCGCGCACGCCGGTGTTTTGTGCTGCCTGGCAGGGCAGGGCAGCGCTTGCTGCAGGCCCCGCGCAGGCCGCGCAGGCCATACCTCTGCCTGATGGTGCGTGCCCTCCGCGCTGCCTGCAGGCGTGGTGCACCTGCTGGGGGGGACTGCGGCGCTGCTTGGGGCGTGGCTGCTGGGGCCGCGCCAGGGGCGTTACACCGCAGACGGCACCCTGGTTGAGATGGTGGGGTGCAACCCCTCCCACGCAGCGCTGGGCACCTTCATCCTGTGTGAGCCCTCCCTGCCCTGCCCTGCCGTGCCCAGGAGCTGCTTGCGGGCCTGGGGGTGGGATGGAGCAAGGGGTGGCTGCGACCCTGCTGCAAGCAACTGGCCTTTGGCAGGCCTGCGGTCTCAAGAGCCCGCCGCGCCTGGCCCCGTGCTCTCTGCCGCAGGGTTTGGCTGGTATGGTTTCAACTTCGGCTCCACAAAGTGCTTCAACGAGGCCTGCATGGAGGTGCGCGTCATGGGCAGGCAGGCCTGGCCAATGACACGCCTCGTGCGGCAAGCAGTCAATGACACGCCTCGTGCGGCTGCTTGCCGCCTGCTGCTCATGCTGCCACATGGATCCGGCTTCCAATTGGCATGCTGTTGCTGCCCCCAGACCTCCTCCCCGCCTTGCCTTTTGAGCGCAGCTGGCGAGCAAGATTGCAGTCAACACCACGCTGGGCGGCGGGGCAGGCGGCCTGATCACTCTGACTCTCACCATCTTGATGGGCTCGCCAGGGGACATCGGCCCGCTGCTCAACGGCATCCTGGCTGGTGCGGGCATTGCTGCACTTGTCCCGCCTTGCAGCCTGCCGTGCCCGCAACGGTGGTTGCAACACAGACGCTGTCATTCTGCAGCCGGAGCGGCGCAGTTGCAGCCACCCTCCTGCCTCCTTCTTTGGCTGCTGGCTACGCCGCGTGGTGCTGCACCCTGAGATTGTGCTGGTGCTGGCCCCGCTATTTGCTTGCTCCTCCCATCCACTCTCGTCTGCCGTGTGCTGCAGGCCTGGTGTCTGTTACCGGCCCGTGCGCCGTCGTCACCCCCTGGGCAGCGTTCTTGATTGGCGCCATTGGCGGCACCGTCTACACATTCTGCAGCAAGTTCTTTCAGACCAAGGCAAGCAGAACGGCTGGCGGGCGGCTGTGGCTGCCTCGCTGCACCTCGGAATACTGCTGTGCTTGGCTCGGGCCACGCTCTGCCTCTTGGGTGGGGCTACCCGCTGCCCCATGGCCTTGCCCACCCTCGCTCACTGCTGCAGGCCCGCATCGACGACCCTCTCGACGTCAGCTCGGTGCACGGCTGCTGCGGCGCCTGGGGCCTGATTGCAGGAGGTGCGGCCAGCGCGGGCGCCGCCACTGCGGCACACTGCGGAGCCCTTTGTGGCCGCTGCGCAACAACTGCTTCTTCCAAGCATAATATGCGCTTGGTAAGGCAGGACATGAACACTACATGGTTGCGCCTGCCGCCGCCTGCAGGCCTGTTTGCCACCAAGACGGGCGTGCAGGAGGCATACAACAGCGACGCAGGCTACGGCCTGTTCTACGGCGGCAACGTGGCGCAGCTGGGCATCCAGCTGCTAGGTGCGCCCACGCTGCTGCCGCCACTCCCGCTTGCCAGCTGTGTGCGGCTGACTGGAGGCTGCCAATGGCATGGCAGCAGCCCCAATTAGGTCACACCTTGCCTGCACTAACCTCTGCCCTCTCCGGCCAACTCAATTGCAGGCCTGGTGTGCATCGCTGCCTGGAGCGCCGCCATCTGCGGGTCGCTGTTCTTTGCCCTCAAGAAGATTGGCTGGCTGCGGGCCAGCAAGGAAGTGGAGCAGCGGGGCCTCGACTGTGAGTCGTGTTCACTTGAGTGCCCAGCAGCAGCAGCATTGCAGCCTGTCTGGGCCCAGGGCGGAGTGGAAGCTGGCATGGCCTGGCCCATGCACCACTTCATTGCCAGCTGGCGCCTGATGGCCGCAAAGCACAACAATGCCATGTGCTGCTGTGTGCTGCTGCAGATGCCCAATCCGTCGGCGCGGGGACAGCCTTTTGGTTCTTGCACGGTGGCCGCCCGGAGCAGAATGGCAGCATCGACCAGTCGCTGTCCAGCAGCACGCTGTAGCGCACAGTGTGGGCAGCGGCCAGTGGGCAGCGGCCAGCTGGCGTGCATCTGCATGTGCCGATCAGCCGGCTGGTCCTTTCAAGGAGCGAGTTCCTCAGTTTTCGATCTCTCCAAATGATCCGAGCGCAAATTCTGTTAAATATATGTGTTTTATTTTCCTTCCTATACCCCAAGTTGGCCCTCATGCAACTGTCCGCATTCATTCCTCGCCTCCGATCTCAGTTTGCAATTTTGTGTTGCAGCAGGCCGGGTGCTATTGCAGAACCGCCTGACGAGTTTCAACGTTTCAAACGGCTCCTCCGTCCCAGTTGAATTTCCCCAGTGCATGCCCTATGATTGCATGATTCATCATCAGCTGATATCTGCAAAACGACTCGATTGAATAACTGCCAGCCTTCCGCAGCATGGCAGATCAACAAGGCATCGCCAATGATGGCATCCGTGTGCCCATATTGCTGCCACAAGTCCCGAAAGTGGTGTGCTGGCACCAGGGGAGCGAGAGAGTCGCAAAACCAGTGCAAAACCCTAGCAACGCTCAGAGAGTTGGCCGTCCTAGCGGCGTTTTCAGGGAGAATCAGGCGAGTACATACAGCATGCCAGCTCTGCAGACACCAGCCCAGAGCCTGTCGGTCCAAGCCTGCGGCTGAGCAGAAGAGAAGAAGAAGAAGAGAACACGCGGGACGCGTGATTTGTACTTCGGCCGTACTGGGAGCATGTTTGCACCATGGTTGTGCTGCAGGGAGGGCCAGAAACTTGACATGGCCGCCGCGGGAGTAGCAGAGGCTCGAAAGTCAGTCGGAAATGCGGCCGTATCGAGCAGACTGCAGGGCGGGGTCGCCAGCGCCATTCATTCATTCAGCACACAGCCCGGCCGCCTCTTGCTCGAGGGCGGCCCACTTTGGCCTGGGCCGCCCGGGCCGCCCTCCCCCCCGGGCGCATGTTCGGTGTTGGAGGGGTGTGCCCAGCGATAGGGGGCCCCTGAAGGCATGCGCCGAGGCCGGGAAGCGTGGTTCGGCGCTGCTGCACGCTTGGCGATTTGACCAGAACCACGTGCCGCCGAGCTGCGGCCGCAGTTTCCGGCCCACGGTCTACGGTCGCAGCCACGGGACTCGGCGGCACGGCGTTTGGGCCCAAGCTTGCTGCC